TTTGAAGTGGTTAAATGGTGAAAAAGTGCGCAGGGTCCTGATATGCGCAGGGTCATGATAAACCACGTTATTAGTATACTTCTTATACTAATCGATAAAATGAAATCTGAAAAAATGATATTTAAGAATATCATTCAATCTTTATAATCATCAAATTAGATTATTTATTAAGCCTCCGAAGGACGAGCTGTAATATAGGACCTGAGATGCTCCGAAAAACGATTCGGAGAGCGCAGTGAGGCGAATTGTTTTTCCGGCACCGAGGGGCCGAAGTCAAAGCTTGTATTTATATAATACGAGATCATTATATAGTATAAATATAGCTAGATATATAATATTTTGCTTCTATTCTTCAAGTTCTATTCATTTATCTATAAGTATTATTATCAGGTTCCTTATATATATTAGTTTTTCTATATATAAGTATCAAGAAAGATATTCTCTATATCTAATATATACTATATCGATACTACTGCAATACTATAGCAAATGCCCCAGCTCACTATATATCAAAGTTCATATATACATCGATACCCCTCTCTAAAATCCCACTCTCAAGTACTTATTAACCCCTTCATTTCATCATCATATCCTATCCTAACCCAATCCCAATCCCATCCCATATCGGAAGCCATCACCGAATTAGCGAAAGCGATCCCCCATGATTGAAAATCTAACAGTAGTACCTCCTAACCTAGCCTACTTGGAGATACACTCCACTCCATTTCCAAATCCACTCCACTCTACACCTAGCATACTACAGTGACCACCTATCTACTTCTACAATCCGGTGATGCCTGTTTGCTGTTTGATGAAGAGTTGCACAGTAAGCACTTATATTCCGATCCAGCAACTAAATCTTAGCTATTTACCAAGCCTTAGCTGCTAAGGTGCTAGATAGGTAGGGATTATATGCTTGTACAACCAACCCCATAATTTTGTACGCAAACGAAAATGTTCGTGTCACACGAGATGCTATGCTATCCATTTTTTTCGTACAACATGATGATATGGGATGGGATGACATGGGAGGTGCTGCGGCGCGGCTGCGCTGATGTGCTTATGTATGTGTGCGGAATGTTTGCGTTAGATATGATATTGGCAGATAATCCAGGAATGGATCAAATGGATTGATTGGCTTTAGCTTTATTTGTTGGATTTGAAAGGGGTTACTATTGGATAGAATAGGTATAAATATATAATAATTATATATAAATATATAATAATTATATATATTTATCTATTTTCAAATCAATATACAATATAGCCCTAACATTTTCTATACATCCTTTCTTATACATTAAATTCATTTATCCATCAACCAAAGCATACACAACCTGCAACCTGCAACCTACATCCTATATTCTATATCCTATACCCAACCCAAGCCCGCGGTACCGAAAGCATCTGATCTGCATAGCGACGGGATATTCAACTGACGAATCTCTATCTATCTCTACTCC